GCAACACGCGCTATATGTATCGCATCGGTCGTGTTGTTCCTGCTGTAGCAATGCCCCTGTTTGATAAATAAATACAATAAATCCGTACATAACAGGTGGCAAATCCTTCTTTCTTTTTTTCTTTTTTTTTTTTTTAGCTTTTATGCACAATCATAAAGTGACAAGCATACGGGAAAGACACAAAATAAAGATAAGAGTGGTAAAACATTGTTGGTTACAGTAGCACAATAAACAACAAAGGTACAGCCGAGGGCGTTAGGGTAGGGTAAGTGTGTGTGTGTGTTTGTGTGAGTGTGTGTGTGTGTGTGTGTGTGCGCACTTGTTTTCAACTCCTGGTGGGTTCCATAACCTGAGATTCCACTCACGTCATGGGGACTGGTTTTACGTGGTGGGGCCCGAACACCGGACCCCACTGGTCCAAGCTTAATAATCAATGGGTAATGCTTTTCTAACGGTCCTTATGCAGTCTCTGTAAAAATATGGAAAGGACCCCTGGAGGTTTACTTTCCTGAAAAAAGTGTGTTATGTGTCGGAACCCTGGTGGTGGGTTGCGGAATATCAAGGAGGGGCACACTGGGGCAATTTCAGTCCAGCAGGCTGGAGCCAATCATGGAGCAGCACAACAGAGGCTGGAGCCAATCATGGAGCAGCACAACAGAGGAAATCAGGTGTCAGGCTAGAAAAGGTGCAAGTGTGTGGTTCATTAGGCTGCAGCCAATCACAGAGCAGCACACTGAAGCGCACGCTTACAAACCACTGGTAAGTGCTGACTACAAGTCATGACTTCAAATTGTTATATAGAATGATTACAAATTATTTGTTGTTTGTGCAGCTTAGTCAAGAGTCCCTAATTGATGAAGTCGACTCAGATTCTGACGATTTAACTGTCAAGAAGAAACCTGTAAAAAAGTATGGAAAAAGAAAAATCAAAAACACTTTTCTTCAAGACTCGGAAAGTGACGAACCAAAGGCAAATAAGATTGTTATCATGCAGCTGCAAAAGAAGAAAAATGGGGGGCGAGTTTACAGCAAGAGACACTTCTGCCTCTACTGTTTAATGTCCTGCCACAAAATGTCCCGTCATTTGACTAGAAAACATGGAAATGAAAGTGACGTAGCCAGAGCATTGGCTCTACCTGTGAAATCTAAAGCACGTAAACTTCAGTTTGATTTGATCAGGAATAGTGGAAACCGTGAGCACAATGTTGAGGTTTTAAAGGCCGGCATTGGAACTTTAGTCCCAGCTAAACAGCCAAATTGCCCAGTTAAATCCAGTGAGTTTTTGCACTGTATAGACTGTGGGGCATTGCTTAAGCGAAAGTGGCTGTGGAGGCATGTGGCCAGGTGCCGGCTTTCACAGAAAGATGCCCAGGCTAAACCAGGCTAAACCAGGTAGAAGTAGGGTCCAGTCCCTCTGCTCCCTAGCCCAGCCTGTACCGGAGGGCATCAGCAAAAAGCTGTGGTCTTTAATTTCGGCAATGCATCAGGATGAGGTCACGGGTGTTGTCAAAGCAGAAAAGGGGATTCTGAGACTCGGAGAGCACCTGTACTTAAAATACGAGCATGATAAGACTAAGCATGATTACATTAGGCAGAAAATGAGAGAAGTCGGTAGGTTAATTAACGAAGCAAAAACCGCAGGGAAACTGAAAACAATGAAGGATTTCTTTATTCCTTCCAACTTTAACCATGTGATTGATGCAGTCAGGTCTGTGGCTGGATATGATGAGGAAACAAATCAATACAAGACTCCATCCTTGGCCCTCAAACTCGGCCATAGCCTCAGAAAGCTAGCAGATATTCTTGAATGTGACTCAAAAATGGAGCATTGTGTTGATGAACTATTTATTAAAAACCTCCAACGAAGCCGGCTGCTTTTTGAGAAGAGGTGGGACGTCTGTGTTTCTTCTGCTGCCCTACAGACCCTCCGGCAAGCCAAGTGGAACACTCCGGACCTGCTCCCTCTGACTGAGGACGTTAGAGCCATGCATGCACATATTGAGGTATGTCGACCTGAATATGTGCAAACCCTAATAAGTGAGCCAACGTCTAAGCATTGGTCTAAACTGGCAGTTTTGACTCTTTGTGAGGTCATTATTTTCAATCGAAGAAGGGAAGGTGAGGTTTCAAAGATGCCACTGACAGCCTTTACCTTAAGAAGTAAGACTGGGATCCATTCTGACATTGCTCTGGGACTGTCCCAACTTGAGAAAAAGCTGTGTCAGCATTTTCAACGCATTGAAATTAAAGGGAAAAGAAGTCGGAAAGTGCCGGTTCTTTTGACTCCTGAAATGATTGCTTCGATGGAGGTGCTGGTGGAGAACAGAAGGGCCTGTTCCATCTCTGACCATAACCCATACTTCTTTTCCCGCCCGGGCGCAGACACCCACATCAGGGGATCAGACTCCCTACGCCAGGTAGCCAAAGAATGTGGTGCGGTGCATCCAGAGATGCTATCCTCAACCAAACTTAGAAAGCACATAGCTACTATGTCTACAGTTCTCAATATGAAAGAGAATGAGATGGACATACTTGCCAACTTCCTCGGCCATGACATTCGCATCCACAGGCAATATTACAGACTACCAGAGGGGACACTGGAGCTGGCCAAAATCAGCAAAGTGTTGATGGCCATGGAGCAGGGAAGAGTGACGGAATTCGAAGGAAAGAGCCTCGACCAGATACAAATTGAGACTGAAGGTAATTCTTGATATTATTAAAATATGTATGATTTTTTTCCCCTAAAGGCCACTTGTATTTTTATTTTCTGTGCAACAGGGAGAGCAGTAGAGATCCTCTCACAAACGGACGGGCTAAAAGAAACTTCAAGCGGAGAACCTTCAACCATTCATCCAGATGCACCCCATGGTATTGGCAGTGCCCCTTCTGGTAAGTGTACCAGGTGGGGGATTACAGCCAGGCTGCTTGGTCCTAACCCTGGGAGTGTATATTGCTAATATATTTTTATTTCTCTCCCTAGAACGTGTAAGAAAGCCATGGTCTGCATCTGAGGTGAAGGCTGTGGAGAAGACCATGACGCCTTTCATACAGACTGGAAAAGTCCCTGGGAAGTCTCACTGCCTGGCCTGGCCTGGCCTGGCCTGGCCTGGCCTGCATTAATGCCTCACCAGATGACCTTAGACATCGGACATGGAGTGGCATTAAATTCTATGTCAAAAATAGAATCACTGCAATTCAAAAAAAAAATCTAAAATAAAATTCCTTTAAAAGAGTTGTTTGTTTTCTATTGACTGTTTTGTATTACTTAAAGTAGTCCCAGTAAAAAAAGATTATGTCTATGGGTCCCATTCTGAACGGCCCTGTCAAAGGGACCCACCAGGTAACAAAAACGTGTATGTGTGTGTTTGTGTGAGTTTGTTTGTGTGAGTGTGTGTGTTTGTGTGAGTTTGTTTGTGTGAGTGTGTGTGTGTGTGTGTGTGTGCGTTTGTGTGAGTGTGAGTGTGTGTGTGAGTGTGTGTTTTTGTGTTTGTGTGAGTGTGTGTGTGTTTGTGTGAGTGTGAGGGTGTGTGTGTTTGTGTGAGTGTGTGTGTTTGTGTGAGTGTGTGTTTGTGTGAGTTTGTGTTTGTGTGTGTGCGTTTGTGTGAGTGTGAGTGTGTGTGTGAGTGTGTGTTTTTGTGTTTGTGTGAGTGTGTGTGTGCTAGTGGGAGATATACAGCTGAGAAAGTGAGGAGGATATGAGTTGGTTACTAAAGGGTGTGTGATTAAATAAGTGAAGTGGTCTGACATCTGACTGCCCAAAAATATATACTGTATATAGAGTAATATATAGAGTAATAAATAGAGTAATATATAGACCAAAACGCAATAATAATGACAACAAAACAGCAACTAACTAAAAGAAACATGGTACAAAAATAATAAATACATAGATATTTGACAACAATGACAATAACAATACATATGTTGTGTTTTTTTCCTGTGTTAGTTGTGCGTTAAAAAATTTGCGGGGCCTAAAAACTTCAGGTGACGATATGACTATGAATGTATTAGTAAAAGATTTGGTAACACAATTGGTGTGGAGCTTGTACTTTTATTTTGACTTTTATTGTGTATTGTTTGTTTGGTTGGGACAGTACATTTTCATGAACACATCACTCCGGATTGTAGCGTTGAGCTAATTTGCGTCCGTTGTCCCACATTCGCACTCACAAACACACACTCATTCATTCGCCCTGAACTGTTGCACGTGTTTTTAGTGGTAGGGGAAACCTGAGCACCCGGAGGGAACCTACACAGACACGGGGAGAACATGCAAACTCCATTCAGAAAGGCCTTGTTCCGACCGGGATTCGAAACCCAGAACCTTCTAGCTGAGAAGCGAGAGTGCTGACCGTGTGCCGCCCGGTTTCTCTAGTTTTGTTTCAGTGAAGAAGATGACAAAGTCTGGGATCGCGTCTTTCATTCAGACAGAAGACATGTTTTATTGTCGATGGTAGAGACAGCACGAACAACACCAACAAAGGAAGTTAAAAACAGCAACTGGTAATATACTCAGGAGAAACAGAGTCCTCCAATCAGCAGCTGCCACAGTGCCAGCAGAGATAGTCAAAACAGGAAGTGGAAAAGTACGGGCTTCTGCACATTGGTAGAATGATGAGTTTAACTTTAACAAAAGTTGCTTAAAAGTGTTATGAAATCTCACATTAGTTTAGTTTTACTTCCTGTCATGTAGTACCTCATGCTGATCCTCATTTGTTGCTGCTCCATGTCTATGTTTTTCTGTTTTCCATGTCCATTGTTCTGATTTTCGACTTGCGTTTTACTTCAGACGTTTTTTTCAGTATCATCAATGAATCAATGCATTTTTTTATATTCCTACATTTTGGATACTTTCCCCACATGACAATTTAAGCTAAGATGTTCCTTTAGTTGTCTCACAGCAGGCAACATTTCAAAGTTATCGTTGCACACACTACAGCAGAGGAAAAACAATGGAATATTTGTGTCTGGATATTGTCAAATGCATCGCGACTCTTCAGTCACGATGGCATCTTGTGTTGTGCTTGTTGCAAAACCTCACGGACGAACGGCAGCCCTGACCGCGGATCTGGAGGGATTCCCGGAGAGGCCCAAAGTGAGAGGGACAGGGGAGCTGAGGAAGCAGGGGCAGCACGGGAGATAAGTGTAAAATCACCTTGCCCAAGGGTACGGGCTGCGCAGATCGATATCAGCGCCAGGAGTGATGCCCCAGAGTCTGAGCAGAGTCTGAACAGAGTCTGAGCGGAGTCTGAGCGGATTCTGAGCAGAGTCTGAGCAGAGTCTGAGCAGAGTCTGAGCAGAGTCTGAGCAGAGTCTGAGCGGAGTCTGAGCAGAGTCTGAGCGGAGTCTGAGCAGGGTCTGAGCAGAGTCTGAGCAGAGTCCGAGGAGAGTCTGAGCGGAGTCTGAGCAGAGTCCGAGCAGAGTCTGAGCAGAGTCCGAGGAGAGTCCGAGCAGAGTCTGAGCAGAGTCTGAGCAGAGTCTGAGCAGAGTCTGAGCAGAGTCTGAGCGGAGTCTGAGCGGAGTCTGAGCAGAGTCTGAGCAGAGTCTGAGCAGAGTCTGAGCAGAGTCCGAGGAGAGTCTGAGCAGGGTCTGAGCAGAGTCTGAGCAGAGTCTGAGCAGGGTCTGAGCAGAGTCTGAGCAGAGTCTGAGCAGAGTCTGAGCGGAGTCTGAGCAGTCTGAACGGAGTCTGAGCAGAGTCTGAGCAGAGTCTGAGCAGAGTCCGAGGAGAGTCTGAGCAGAGTCTGAGCAGAGTCCGAGGAGAGTCTGAGCAGGGTCTGAGCAGAGTCTGAGCAGAGTCTGAGCAGAGTCTGAGCAGGGTCTGAGCAGGGTATGAGCAGAGTCTGAGCAGAGTCTGAGCAGAGTCTGAGCGGAGTCTGAGCAGAGTCTGAGCGGAGTCTGAGCAGAGTCTGAGCAGAGTCCGAGGAGAGTCTGAGCAGGGTCTGAGCAGGGTCTGAGCAGAGTCTGAGCAGAGTCTGAGCAGAGTCCGAGGAGAGTCTGAGCACGGAGGAATATTATTGTCAAACGTTTACCTTCCATTCTGTACTGAAATTTTGGATTTCAGAAAAAAATTAACAGTAAAGCCGACTTTGTTTAAGTTCATGAATCAGACTTTTGAAATTTGATCAATTCTAAGTCGTTGTGAAGAAAAAATGTCACTTTAATTGGGATTATTCACCATTTTAAAGAAAACATGAGATCTAATGTATTCATCGAAGCCTAATAATGATTGAATTGATGCTGAAAGCGTCAACAGAAGCTTGCACTGGCCCTGTGTCTTCATGTTTACAATTCTACCAAAATATGAACTTTTTTTATTTGTTTTTTTGCTCCCGTCGATCATTGTTTTCCGCGGCGCTCGGAGCAGCCCTGTCTCATCATGAGCTCGTCCATGTGAGACTGAATATTATCTGAATCTTTGAGGCATCAGCGCTGACGGGAAAAAGGCCTCAAGTCTCAGACATAAACTTACAGAAGGTTTTGGGAGAATATACAAACCCTGAGCCATAATTAATGCAACAATCTGTTTAGATGAATTGCATGAGTTATCTTCTAAAGTTTGACAGTTTTAGTAAGAATACATTTGTTCACTGTTAAAATAGCACCTGAAATGTCGGAGCGGTTATTTTCAAGCATTATACTGCTGCTTTGCTTTGACTGAAATCATTCGGTTTTTTTGCAAACCACTCAAAACAATGTTGTTTTGAGCATGTTTTGTGGATTTAACACACATTTTCTTTCATCCATTCTCAACATCTATAAAATTCTATATTCAATCATAAAAGTGTTTTTGTATTATACATAAGGAATTTGTATGAGATAGAAACCTCCTTGCTGATTTCTCCTTCAGGGAACAATGAAGCCCAGTGTTTTTGTCGTGAGTGGGAATCTACAGTTATCTCGCTAAAAAAGGAAGAAGATCGAGACCCGGACCAGAGCCAAGTCCTGAGACTTCTTCCATATATGGGCCCAAGGATGACACCTTCAGATACAAAATATAGTCTGAGCAGGATATAACTATGTACATTAAAAAAAAGAAAAAAACATAGACAAAAGTTTTTTCTGTGTTCCAACTGTGGTCTCATATAAAGGAGGACACTTTAGAAAAATCACTGGAATGAGGCGGGCGAGGTGGATCAAGGCTTTCCCAGATAAGCGCCCCCTGCAGGCCACCCCAATGAAAACCAGCAATTTCTTTTCTTTATTTTTTTTTTTTTAAATGCCCGAAATCTAGATTCTTTTGAGAAATATTTTTAGTACTCCCTTAGAATTGAGTGTCCCCGATTAAGACTGTTCCAAAAACCGTACACCGCACAGGAGGAGAGCCTTTGACTCCTAAACAGACTTTACATGGTTTTCAATGGGAGCAAAACTGTCCCACATCTGCTCATGCGCCCCCTATTGGCCAGTTTAATAAAACTCAAATATATCTTGGTCTTCCTTTCTGGTCAAATTTTCAATCATGCTACGATCCCGAAACTGTATTTAGAAAAAGACAGTAATGGCACTGCTAGATACCGCAGCAATGAAATGTACCAGCCATAATACTGTCTGTTCCAATCCCAAGCTTGTATAATTGAAGAAGGCTGCAAAACGAGCATCTGGAATAAAACCTATGCCAAATCAATATGCAAATGGCTGCAAACTAGAAGGCAGCTGATGTGCCATGGCAATCCGTCAAGAGGGCTCACAATGGCACCTGTGTGAAAAATAAATAAGAAAACTTTGTAAACTTCCATTAAAAGAGCTTATCAAGTCATAGAAGTGTAATCTACTATTGCCTATGTTTTACTTTTGACAATCTCTGGCACCAAATGAGCAAACACGGACCGAATTATCCCTAAAACCTCCAGCGCTGAAGTCTATTGGAATCCTGCCACATCCCTGTCACGCAACAGTTTTCACTTTGAGTTATCGCTCTTTTTGATTGCTTCATTGGCAATGCTCAAGAGATGTCAATACCACGGCTCCCACGCACCCTGAAACTGTCCCCCCTAAAATACCAGCAAACAAAACCATCGTGGATTTGCTTTGGACAAGGTCTGCATGTGTGTGGTAATGCACTTTAAAAACGGCATAAATACTGTATCTGTATTGAAGCACCTGGGGAGTGGTGAATGGATGAGAAGCTGTACATGTGTATATATACGGATCCAGCTGGGAAAAAGGGAATATGGAAGAGAAAGAATTTTTGAAGTGAAAGTGTGAAGAGAAAGCCTACACTGCTCTGTGCAACTGGGAGCGGCGTCAACAACCGAGACTGCAACCAAAGCGAGAAAGACTCTGACCTTGTTTCAGTGGACAAAGGTTTTTTTACAGGGAGAAGCTTTGTAAGACTCAGGCAGAAAAACCGTCCAGAAAGTATAATGTGATTAGAAATGCTGTGTGTTGGCTGCTTTGGAAACGGAACATTTGGCTGGTTTTGTTGAAGGATGGAAAGAACACTTGCGGGGTAATAAGATAATTATGGATACTGCCAAGAAATGTTTAATGAGAGATTGTTATTCAAGTTATTCAAGTCAAATACATCAGAGGGCCAAAAAAACAAATTTGCTGCGAGCCGAGGGCCGAGATGGTTCAATGTTTATTAACTTATTGCCTGCCAGCCTATTTCAGAACAGGTACTCCCATATTACCAGCAGTTTCTGATGATTTTTATAGATTTTTCAAGAACCACAGAATATTGTGTACTATGACTATCTGAAATCCGAAACCAGATTCTGAAATAATAGACTGTCTACTTTCATCAGCAAAAATAATTTTGTTTCTAGCTTGTAATCCCCAGTTGAGTAGAGGGAAGTTTTACTGAAATCACCAAAAAGTTGAGAAAAAGAGGCACAACAAGTGCATCTAGCTGTTTTCAAACCATTCAGAGAGCGCTGCTGCCACCTGCTGGCTCGATTCAATATGCTCTCAAGCTTATCCCCAAACATATTAGATATAAAAGACATCTGGGAACATGAAAATAGCGGAAAACGCAATTGACATAATGGTGCGTCATTGGCAGGCAACGGGCCATGTAAAATTCATTCGCGGGCCGGATTTGGCCCGCGGGCCTTGACTTTGACACATGTGCTCTAGGGCTTTTAATTTCCTCTCGAGGATCAATAAAGTGATTTGATTGCAGCTTTACATTTTGCCTCATTTTGTTTTCCAGAATATTGTCAAGAAGAAAACTTGAGATATTTTTCCTCTTGCTTTTCTAAATCTGTTGGTAAATCGTCCATAAACGTGCTTAAAGTTTGAAGCCCTTATGGATCTAACATTTCGAAGTGGTGGGGAGGAGACATAGCCCTAACAACACCTGTGTGTCCTCCCCCCCTCCCCTTGTGTGTCTGTGGGTCTCCTCCCCCATTGCCGTCTCCCATCAGCACAACTTGGGAGAATATTTTTTAGGCTGGAAATCCACTCTGCCACTTCCTTTGACTGTGGAAAGGAAAAGAAGCAAAGCCAATTCTGAAAATCAAATCTGAGAAACACTTTTGATTGGACTTATTTGAACCCCTTTTTGTATTTTCTCAGGTGGACGACCGGTTTGACAGTTGTTTTTCTTGGAAGTTCTTTGGACTTCGTCATTATTATTTTTCTCCACTAACAATATGTACGATTTTCATGTTAAGTCATTGTAGGATAAATTAAAATGACCTCTTTCCTCAATCAAAGACATTTTGTTGTATATTGAGACATATTATAACTTCTGTCTCAACTGTGTGTAAATCCTTGTGGTTCAGGTTTTATTGTGGGCAAGAATGTTTTAAGATAAGTGCCATGGCAACACCCTTCCCCCAACGACTCTACAACAAGGGAAGACAAACCAGTCTGCTTTGGAACCACGGAGTGACCAGACCTCCCTGGGCTCTGCTCAGGCAACCAAGGGGCTTTGGGCCTCTTAGATGGCCTCAAACCTCAGCTCCACGTTTGAGAGGACTTCCACAACCCTTCAATAGCCTCCAGCTTCAACCTGAAGAAGTTGCTGAGTTTTGGCACCTAGACTGTGGATCGTGGGAGGACCGCATGATGCAGCCGCATGGTCCAGGCCCTGGGGACAAGAAGCCTCCATCCAACGCCATCAAGACCCAAGGACTGCTATTCACCAAAGGCTATTCTGGTTGTATGATCTGCGCTCTTGCTACACACAGCTGTTGGCTTTATTAAAACCTATACTTCAAAGAATACTTCTCCTACCAAGGCTGAACACATGCAGGCCTCAGCCTATACCAATCCATTCATAAACAAAGGTCTTGCTTAGCTCACTTTAGCCTAGCATTTTAACAATGTATCTTGAAATCAACGTTTCCTTCATGTTATTCTTGACAATTTGCATATTTCATATCTAGTCTGTATTGTGTATACTTAATTAAATCTACAAAACCATCTTTGTCTGAAAGTGATATTTGTACTTTTAACTCCAGAAATTGGGTCACTGATTTGTAAAAGAATTCACTACCTTCAGATTCTATTGAAGAGAATTGGACTAATTAGCTAATTAAATAATGAAAGGACTCATGAGATTACTTAATCAATAAATGAGCCAATTAATTGATATTGTGACGTCATATGCACGTTATCAGTTGGGAGTTATTCCCTGGTGCCCCTAAATAAAGCTATTATCAATTATTGTATTTATTACATGGTTGTTTTTATCCAATTCTCCGATATCAGGTACATAACTTGTTATGTGTGATATCGACATTTTCTCACCCTACATCATCATTAAAGAGCCCTAATCTGTCAAAAGGTATTAATAAACCATGTTCTTTTCCAATACTTCTTTAACTGATAAAAGTAGTTCAGAGATATTTGGATTTCTAAATTGGTTTTCCAGCCCCTAAATCTTGTTTTTGTTTTCATTTCGATGTCCCGCCCTCCACCGTTTCACCAATCAGAAAGTCTGTGATCCGGGCGCCAGAACTCACCGCGTGGAGCTAATCTCACTGGTAAAGAACCATGTGGCGCAGAACTAAAAAAGGTCTTGTTATGATTCTCAAATCATTAACGACAAAACAAGGAATAAAACCAGGATTTCTATCTTTGTGAAAAAGGTGTTGGTTATAGATTTGTTGTTGACAAAACTCTTGTCTATTCAGCTGTTATGGTCCCAGCTGGATTCGTCTGCATATCTGGCAACCTGAGTCAGGGAGAGTGGGAGAGGCTGCAGTACCACTTTTGGCCACATGTTTACAAACTGCTCCTTTAAATAAATGAACTTATTATTCCTTGGATCTGCCTTTTCAACACATTTTATTCAAATCACAAAACTCTCTCCATTTCCTCCTTTTGTTTCACATATATAACAATAAACTCCCCCAAAATGATTTTTATGGTGTCAAATGGAATAAGGCCACTTAACGACAAACACACATTGTCGTCAGTCGTCTACATCCCTGTGTCGTGAAGCCTTTAAGACTCCTGCGACATTTGGAAACTCTGAGACATTATTCAAACTTGGATCCTGATAGAACCCTGATAAAAGATGGCCGCGGAACATTTGCATTCATTTTCTGCCAAATGCGCATTTTTCTCTCTCATCTCCCGCTGCTCACAGACAGTTCTCTGCTGCAGACACCGCTCATGTATTTATGTTCGGGAGCGGCCATAAAACTTGCACATGTCCTTGCACACCTTGGACCCACTGATGCGTTTGATAGGTGCTGCCTTCGCTCTCCCATTATTTGGGTCATTTTTCATATTTTTTTGGTCGCTAGCTCAACTTGAAATCAGAAGTGAAAATCTCTGCAGTTTTTTTGAGAGAACAAAAGTGGAAAAGGTCTTGAGCTTGGAGACAAGGTCTGTATTTTTGCACTATTTTGTACTTGTGTTAGTACTATTTCTGCCAATCCTTTCAACAATCTTCACGGATGTATTTCATTTCTGTATATGGGGAATATACAATAAAAGATACATTCATTCATTTTCAACCCCTTTATTCGTCCATTTCTGGGTCGGGGGGTCTAATTGGGTTAACCCTCTAAGCCAGTGGTTCTCAAACTTTTCACACCAAGTACCCCCTCAGAAAATACTTGCCTCTCCAAGTACCACCACAAATGACCAATACCACACAGTAGCGTAGTAAGCCGAAGTATTCATCAATAACAAGGCAGAGGTTTCATTCCTAAAGAAGTATATTTAATGTAATATTTTAAACAGTTTCAACAGTAAGACTGCGCTTAAATATAGGAAAAAAAAATGTTTTAAATGTTTCATTCATTGCGAACTGCAAAGCCTCACTGTGAGTGATATTCTGGAGTGGGATCTTTGTCCACAGAAGGTTTGGACTCTGGTGCACTTTAGTTTCTAAGGCTTGTTCTGCTGCCCTCTTACATCTGTCGTTTACTCACAGAGACATGTTCTCATGGTTTGGATCAAATGATCGTTTGTTGCTCTCTGTTCCTTTTGCACAGAACTGGGGAAAAAAACTGCTCCTTCTACATGGAACGTGTTGCAAAAAGACTAGAAATGATCTGATCTTATTTCCTTGAATGCTTTTAGATCCAGATTGAGACATCTTCAGTGAAATGTAACTGTTTTTATAATCCGTAATTTTATAAAATTGTGTGTTACTGTTGTATAATCTGTATGTGACTATTTTATCATCTGTATGTGACTGTTTTATCATCTGTAATTTTATGTAATTTTTGTACACGAAAAAGAGGTTCTCATTGACTGCCAGCCATTTTTTGATGACTTCACTGATTTTTAAGACTCACAGAATATTGTGTGCTATGAAAAATATGAAACCAGAGTCTGAAAGACAGGACTGTCTACTTTCAGCAGCAAAAAGAAGTTTGTTCTTAGTTTGTTTCGTTCTCCTGTGATCTCCAGTCGAACAGAGGAGAGTGTACCTAGCACCAGTAAGCACCAGTCTTAGACAAAAAAATTAGAAAATTAGGTTTTTGTGAAAACAGACGAACTGCAGAAAAGTGATTGTAAAACTATTTAGTTTAACTTTAGCATCTCCTCAAACATGTCCAGGATCACACATGTTAGAAAACAGCAACACGTTTTGAGAAAGTGTTTTT